AATCTATTTTGTTATAAAAATTTCCCGGAACTCGAGGCAAGCTAACCTGAGTAACGCGGGGCATTACAGACTTCCCCCCTTCAAAAACTTTCGTCCTCGAAAGTTCGTTGCTCGAACAATTCAGGATAATGGGCCCTGATTTCGTCTTCTCTCTCCCAAGTAGCCTCTTCTATTTGGTAGTTCCTCCACAAGACCTTCACCCAAGTCAATCACCCGGTTCAGCAGCACTTTGGTCTCTCTCGCTACGATCCCAATGGGTACTTCTTTATAGCACAATGTTTCATCTACCTGCAGTGGTTCGTAATCCAAGACGTGGGAAGGGTCATGGACGTATTTCCTCAACATGGACACGTGGAACACATTATGCACTGCACTCAACGACGGTGGCAAAGCCAACCGGTAAGCGACCGGGCCGATGCGCTCCAAGATCTTAAAAGGACCAATAAATCTTGGACTGAGTTTTCCCTTCTTACCAAAACGTAGGACTCCCCTCACCGGTGCCACACAAAGGAAAACATGGTCACCGACATCAAATTCCAATGCTCTTCGCCTAACATCAGCGTAACTCTTCTGTCTGCTTTGGGCCGTCTGCATTCTTGCTCTAATCTTTTGGATGGCGCCATTAGTTTCTTGTATCAATTCTGGTCCCAACAGGACTCTCTCACCGACCTCATCCCAATGCACCGGCGACCTACACTTTCTCCCATATAACGCTTCATATGCGGCCATGTCAATGGTCGCCTGATAACTGTTGTTGTATGCAAACTCTACTAAGTACAGGTGTTTGTCCCAAGAACCACCGAAATCCAATGTGCAAGCCCTCAACATATCTTCCAGAACCTGGTTCAGACGCTCGGTCTGGCCATCGGTCTGGGAGTGGAACGCCGTACTGAAATCGAGTCGTGTCCCCAGAGCTTTATGCAAACTCCGCCAAAACGTTGACATGAAACGGGAGTCCCGATCTGACACTATGGTCACTGGTATGCCATGGAGTCTAACTATTTCATGCAGATAAAGTTCCGCCGACCTTTCTACTGAATACGTGGCTTTGCCTGGTATGAAATGCGCAGACTTTGTTAAGCGATCCACAATCACCCAAATCACTGTGAATCCTTTAGCCGTCCTCGGTAACCCTGTAATGAAGTCCATGGCTACGTCATCCCACTTCCACACCGGTATACTTAAAGGTTGCAACAACTCGGCGGGCCTCTATCTGGAGGCTTTCACCTGTTGGCACGTCAAACAGCTACTAACAAACTGAGCAATCTCACGCTTCATATTGTGCCACCAATAGTGTCTCTTAAGATCTCTATACATCTTGGTATTCCCAGGATGCACCAAGAATGAGGTATTATGAGCCTCGGTTAGTAAATCCCTCCTTAAAGGAAAATCTCTTGGCACGCACAGTCTCCCCTGATAGAGCAAGGCCTTATCTTCCGAAAGGGAAAAATCTCCTTGGCCCAGCATAACGAAACCCTTGTTCAGGCTGGAATCTCCCCTTTGTGCAGTGATGATTCGCTGTCTTAGGGTGGGTTTGACCGAGAGTTGAGCTAGCACTGCTAAAACATCTTCTACCGCTAACTCCACCTCAGAACGGTCCAACTCATCTAACACTGGTCTAGGAGGTACTACTAGAGGAGCTACGCTTGCTGCTCTTCTATTGAGTGCATCGGCCACCACGTTTGCCTTACCCGGATGGTAATTGATCTCGCAGTCGTAGTCTTTTACCAGTTCTAACCACCTCCGCTGCCTTATGTTAAGTTCTTTCTGAGTGAAGAAATATTTTAAACTTTGGTGATCAGTGAAGATTTGAATCTTTTCCCCATAAAGGTAGTGTCTCCATATCTTCANTTAAAGGAAAATCTCTTGGCACGCACAGTCTCCCCTGATAGAGCAAGGCCTTATCTTCCGAAAGGGAAAAATCTCCTTGGCCCAGCATCACGAAACCCTCGCTCAGACTGGAATCTCCCTTTTGTGCAGCGATGATTCGCTGTCTTAGGGTGGGTTTGACCGAGAGTTGAGCTAGCACTGCTAAAACATCTTCTACCGCTAACTCCACCTCAGAACGGTCCAACTCATCTAACACTGGTCTAGGAGGTACTACTAGAGGAGCTACGCTTGCTGCTCTTCTATTGAGTGCATCGGCCACCACGTTTGCCTTACCCGGATGGTAATTGATCTCGCAGTCGTAGTCTTTTACCAGTTCTAACCACCTCCGCTGCCTTATGTTAAGTTCTTTCTGAGTGAAGAAATATTTTAAACTTTGGTGATCAGTGAAGATTTGAATCTTTTCCCCATAAAGGTAGTGTCTCCATATCTTCAAGGCGAACACTACCACAGCAAGCTTCAAGTCATGGGTGGGATAGTTAAGCTCGTGTACCTTTAACTGACGTGAGGCATAGGCAATGACTTTTCCATGCTGCATCAGAACACAACCTAAACCCCTTCGTGAAGCGTCACTGTACACCACCAAACTTCCCGACCCATCCGGTACTGTTAACACTAGGGCCATGACCAAACGCTCCTTCAGTTCTTGGAAGCTTTTCTCACATTCATCGCTCCAATTGAACGTGGCATTCTTGCGGGTTAACTGAGTCAACGGCGCTGCCACCCAAGAGAAATCTTGGACGAACCTTCTATAATAGCCGGCTAAGCCGAGAAAACTGCGGATTTCGGTCACTGTGCGAGGCCTTGGCCAACCACTGACCGCCTCCACCTTAGCCGGGTTCACGGCAATACCTTCCCTGGTGACTATGTGGCCAAGGAAAGCCACCTTAACCAGCCAAAACTCACATTTCGAGAACTTCGCGTACAGGCTGTTCTTCCTCAAAGCGGTAAGAACCTGCCGCAGATGTCCTCCGTGCTGCTCTTCCGTCTTGAAGTAAATTAAAATATCATCGATAAACACGATCACAAACAGATCCAAAAATTCCTTAAAAACTCGATTCATAAGGTCCATAAATGCCGCAGGGGCATTAGTGAGTCCGAAAAACATAACGGTAAACTCATAATGCCCATACCCGGTTCTGAAGGCTGTCCTAGCTATGTCGGCGTCTTTAACTCTCAACTGGTGGTACCCCAATCGTAGGTCTATCTTCGAGAACACCCTTTCTCCTTTTAGTTGATCGAAGAGGTCATCGATGCGAGGAAGGGGGTACCTATTTTTTATTGTGACCTTGTTCAGATCCCGGTAATCAACACAAAGTCGCATAGATCCATCTTTCTTTTTCACAAACAGCACGGGAGCACCCGAAGGAGACACGCTCGGGCAAATGAAGCCTTTGTCTAAGAGCTCTTCCAGCTAAGCCTTAAGCTCCTTAAGTTCCGCTGGAGCCATGCGGTACGGTGCCTTCGAAATGGGGGCTGTCCCGGGTGGTATGTCGATACAAAAATCCAGTTCACGAACAGGGGGTAGCCCCGGAAGGTCATTGGGGAACACATCTGGGAACTCTCTGACCACGTGAACAGAGTCGATACTAGGTGGAGTCTTACTAATGTCAACGACGTTGGCCAAATATCCCCAAGCTCCATTCTGCAACAGGCGTTTTGCCTTCAACGCTGATACTGTCCTTGGGACTCTACCCGTAACTCTTTTAAATGTAAAGTTCCGACCCGAAAGTAGTTGGAAGGAGACTTCTCTTCTCGAGCAATTAATGTTGGCTTGGTTGGTAGCTAGCCAGTCCATGCCCAAAATAAGGTCAAAATCTTGCATGTCCAGCTGGATCAGTCTTGCCCTTAGGGTCTGATTATCAAAAGACAACTCACCTGCCCTCACCTTTTGACTAGCGATCAAAACCGACCCTGATGGTGTAGAAACCGACAACAAAAACCCTAATGGCTCTAATTCGAGGGTTGCCTGACGAACAA